GCCAAGGCTGTTCTAAGAAGTTCAACTGCCGTTGTTCCTCACTCCATGTTTAAAAGATCTGCTTCGAGCTCCAAAGGTGCCGCGCTTGATTCCTCTTGGGAGAAATCCTTGTCTTATTCATGCGTTACTTTAAACAAGGAATTTACGTACCATTGCTTTAGACCGAGGTAGCTCAGTCGGTAGAGCATCGAACTTAGAACCGATAGGTTTCGAACCAAGCCTCAGCTATGGTTACTTGTCCTTCTTCCCCGCGAGGTTTATAAATGAGTAATACTCAGTAGGATAAAAACAGTAGACAATGCGCTACGAGGCTGTTGACTCTGCCTTTAAACCAAGGCACTCCTGACTGATGTCACAGAAATAGAGATCAGCCCCGCACCATTAACTTCATAAGAGAAGAGCGCCAACGGCTCAGTGAGGGAAGTGAAAAAAGAGGGACATTCCACAGGTGACAAACTTTTCTTTCTTCCTCCTAGTTTTTGAGGAACGTTGCAATCATTAACATTTTCTGCGTACGGAACACTTATTTTCAAACAGTTTTCGTCAGAAAAGCCGTAATGAATAATTAACTGTAAATAATAATGTAAAATATTTTCAGAATGTCATGGTTTTGGACGTGACATGAGATACTCCTTTAGCTCCGCGGTTTCTATGCCGCAATAAAGTGAAAGGAGTATCTTATCTCACACTCAAAATCGTTTGCATTGAGAAACGAATAATGAAAAATATTAGATGATGCACTAACCATTATGTAAGTTTAATAGGATCATTGCACAGATGATGAGAGTACGTCAGCGTAGGCTGCAAAACAGAAGTGTACGACGCAACCTACTTTTTCATTTCTCCCACTTTTCTCCCACCAGCGAACCGACTAAAGCAGCTGGTTCAAGATGTTCCACGTGAGTTTTATTTCTTTACCTTTTGCGACCTCACCTCCATAGATACGATCTGTTATTTAATTGAGTTGTCCTGAATATGACGACAGCAATTTTTATCATTTATATTTCAGAACGGCGTTTTAGTGGCGTCTTGACTTGAACTCAGACGATTACAGGTGTTATCGTTCATTGACAGAGATCAAATTAAAGTGAGTCATGCGTGGAATCAGGATTTATTAGGTCTTAATCATTCAGGAAACGGAAAAATATAATTCTTTCTTCATTTTCTACTATTATCTTTCAAGCGTTGTCCCAAAGCTGCTCGTGAATTGCCTTTTGTTCTTCATAGGGAAAGGATTTCTCCAGATTACTTGAAACTGTCCTGGAAATTGTCTGGATCTATTTCAATTAATATTTAGCATAAGGTTATGTAGAAATTTGTGTTTATACAAATCAGTTCCGTATAACTGGATGAAGTTGGATGAAGTGTAAGTGGAACACTGCTTTCGCCAATGCTGCTTTAAGGCACAAGTTTCGTTTGAGCAAGAATGTTAATCGCTGTGCTGTGTTTAGATGCCATTAAAACGTAAATTATGACGACAAGGAAGAAATGTTTACAGGTAATCAATATACCGGGAAGGTTATTAAAACAAAATGCACTGATATCCTGTCCAAATGCCCCGTCATGCTTTTCTGGGTTGCGTTGCTTCACAACTTTCGAAAGATTGCGTAAACGATAACGAAAATGACAAGGCTTATTGCTGAGTTTCCGACCGAAGAAATGGATCGGACTAAATGAGTGTATTTTCATCCATCCCATTAAAAACGTTTCTCTCAGACCGTTTTCAAACTCTGCTATGTTTTTCTTATGATCTCAAGCCTTTGACACTCGGTCAAGCTGGAGGTTCAACCAATTCGCCTGGTTATAGGGCTACGAGACAATTTGATCAAGTCACGGTCATTCAACAGGGGCTGATTGTTGCTAAAAGAATATGTCGTAGGTTAGCTATATTTTATCGTATCCGTGAACACGGCTGTTCAGCAACATGTCATTAGCCTAATTGTATATAAAGGGTTTATATTACGGGGTAATGTTTACTAATGCTTTGCTCCAAGTTAAACACAGACGGTGGCCTCAATCTCTTTAGCTGAACCTATGATCAAAGTAGCCTTCTCATCGACAGAAGTTTCTCAATAGCTAGTTTTGTCAGCCTTCGGTTGTGGTTAGCTCATGTTTCAGGGGTTATGACAGACTTTTATGGCTAGAGAAAAGACTTTCCATAAATCACTCAACGACATGATATTGTTCTGTCGATATTGGTGTCTCAGAGGAAGCGGCAAGAAGACACAGCTCTAGTCAGCATCATCGTAAGGCGATATTGCCACGTCACGAACAGGTAATGAAGGCAATTTGGTGAAAGCAGAGAAGGGTTATCATTCAACCCGAAAAATGGCTAGTTGAGGGCTAGGGTGCACAAAAGCATGACCATCCTGGAAATTATCGAATTCATTCAGGTGTTAGCAATAAGTCATCTCCATTATGACATGAATATGTTGAACTGAGTGGAAGACGATAGGTTTTTTGCAACCCCCTGTTGCGCGATCATCTTTATCATTTCTCACTGCTGATTGTCAAGGAGACGAGAGCGCCATTTTTGTGGCGAAAACGTTTTCCACTAATTTCTTAGTCTTCTTCCATGAGGACTTATCGTTTTTGTGGTAAAATTTGCTAAATTGTTAACCAATTAGTTGTTGAGGTGTTCTCTTGAATTTATTTTCTGTACGGTGTCTTGGATAACGGTTTTGTGCCACCGCTG